AATACTCTCTCTCTCTCTCTCTCTCTCTCTCTCTTTGGAATCCGTGGTGGCTCCTAAAAGATAACTCGAAATCTTGGTTTAATTAAATGAATGTGAAAATTTTTGGGTCATTCTTGGATGGCTAAACCGTGGCACGTGTAGTATTGAAAAATCAATGGAAAGCTTTCAGGTGTTGTTGGACTCATTTTCTGGTTAATTTCTTTTTTGCTCTCTCAAGTCCGCGGTTGCTCATAAAGGTTCACTGTGTATCTTGGGGTAACAAAATAGATGCGAACACTTCATCATTCTCGTGTGGCTAAACTGGGGCAAACATGCTATGAGCCCTTATTGTATTAAGTGACCCAAGGGAGGACATGCAGAAAGTCGGACTTAGAGCCAATTTGGGTGCATGCCCCTAGGGACATTCTGCTATCTAAATTGCAGAATAAGGCATGAAAATGTTTCCTTTTCATCCAGCTATTGCCAAATAGCGCCACTATTTGGTTGGGTTTCTACCTGAGCAGGGTTCCAAATCGACAGACACAAACACGTTGCGAAAGTATTCCAGCAGAAGTGGAGGAAAATTAATAGTAGTGGTCCGTCCTCCCTGTTGGCCCTATAAATAATTTCTTCTGTCGTGATAACTCACTTGTTTAGTATTGTGCTTTGTGCAAACCATCTGTGCATGATCAGTGGATACTTCTGTTGGACTGTTGCCTTGCTGACCTTTTATTCTATCCTTACAGGAAATAAAGGCATATTGTACTATGTCTTCCCATGCTCTTTTGTTTTAGATCAGAAGTCACAAAAGTTCACCAAGTTCTGACCTGCTTTTCATACATGAGCGACACCATCCTGGTCATGTGTTAACTGAACTGTACCAGAATTCATTGATGAGGATATGTTTCACCTTTCCAGAAAGGCTCTCCTAGAATGATCGCTTATTATTGATTACTAGGTTAATTTTTTTCCCATCTATTCCTTTTACGTGCCATATATTACTTTCTGCCCCCTGAACTGTAGTTTTCACTATTGAAGATGCTAGATGCTGAGTTATGCCTTATTCCTTGTAGCACAGAAATTATGGCAGACCGTTGCCCACACCACTTGGTGCATACAACAAATATCATGGCATGTAGGAAGTATGTACAAACAAGTGAAGACCAGATAAGGCATTTTTATTGAAGTCATTTGCAGTGATACCCATGAAGTTAAATATGGGTGGTGGAACTCCTACAAAGGGTCCTTGTGACTAGAAGGAGACTAGAAGGAGAAGAAGAAAGAAACGATGTCCCTTGTGTACTCTTAGTTGACTACCGGGGGGTAAACAATGCTTATTTGATTGGAATACTGGTATTAATTCTTTGGAAATTTAGATGGGGAAATTGATTGTGATTGGGTTTGAACTTTGAACTTACAGTTGGGACACTCAAGAGCATTATAGAGTATTATCTTGATTGATATTAAGGTACGAGATGAGGAAAGAGGTTTTGAATTCCATTGTCCTCATAAAATGATCCCTTTTTAGGGTCACAATAAGGGTATGCATCGGTCAATTTTCCTTCATGTTCCTGGAGTTGACATATAAGATGAAGCCCAAACGAGATTTTCAGGCTCCTGTGGAGACCCAAACTGTTTGTATTTTATGACATGTTGGGTTCTTAAATGCCCTTTTCAATCTTGGTTTGGCACAAGTTATGTAGTCAAGCCACATACCTTTAGCATTGATGGCTTCATCATCTGAGACTGATCAGTGAATGGGGTTGCAAGTCATTAAAGGCCACTTGAGCATCCAGGGCCTAGAGTTGGGGCTTCAAGTATCTTCGAGTATGAGAAGAGGGAGGTGCGTGAGGAGGTAACCTTTGGCCACTCACTGGTCAAGACATTGGCATTGGTAAGATTTATCTTAATTGTTGTTGTATGTCTTGTGTGATGATAGACTCTTCAATGTTGCCTAAAAAGAAGAGGAAGCTTACCCTGGTTACTATTTTGGTTATGTGGTCATGTGTTAGTTCAACTAGAAATCAGAATTATGTTAATGTTTTGGTCCTCTGCAGAAAGCTAGTAAGAGGGTTAGTTTGTCTGTTGGAAGGTCAAGATCCTCATTTAGGTTCTTCTAAATGGGTTGCATGGTGCAGGCTAGATCGCTAGGTATTCCTTGGAGACAGCAGGTTGCATGGTATTTGTTCTATTATCTCAGCTACAGAAGGAAGATGAATTCCAACATGTGAAACTTGTTTTGCCAACAATGGAGGTTTTAATAATCTCATCACTGCCTCACCACCTCACCATACCTAGTGCTTCCCCCAAAGACTCAAGTGCTTGAATGACAGGGCAGACACCTAACATAAGGGATAAAGTAGTTGTTGGGTTCCAAAAAGACTTAAAAAGAGTTTGTTAGGAATCTACGATGGTTTTCAGTATGGTTTCCAATAGATTATTCCCATGTATGAATTTAAGTCACTTTTGTTGGGGGTATGCTATGATGATCTTGGAGGATGCGTACTCATGGACAAAATTGCCCATGCACAATTAGCCAATCCTTCTTGACCCAAAAAAACAAAAAAAGATTCAGAATCTTTCCCTTAGATGTCATGGAGTAACAGTGTCTCCTGCTTTGGCTGGCACCCTTAGATAGAGAGAGAAGAATTATAAGATTATGGTCAACTTTCTTTTTGTGGATGATAGGCCTGTCATTAATTTAGGAACACTATTTAAGTGTTTCTCCAAGTATCAATTGTTGGGGGCATCCCACAGGATTGATGTGAGGGAATAGCCAAAAATAATTGGACACACCCTAGGAGGTGTGCTTAGGGGTTCATGGTCTTCTCACCCCCCTGAGACCATTGGGATACTTTCGAATCACATTGGTTGAAAATCTCTCCTTTTCTGGATGAAATCACATGTTAGGGCCTCAGTGGTACCTCATAATAGGATAGCAATAAGATGATGTATCCCTTCATGGATTGGCTTGTCAGCTTTGGGCTGAGATGGAGAGGATGTTTTCCTCAGACCATATGCTCAGGTATGACTGGGTTGGTTGAAGAAGTTTCAATCCTGCTAAATTTCTTTGTTCTGTTTCTTTTTTAGGTGACTAAGCTGAGATTCAAATCATACACTGTAGTGTTTCAACCCATATGCCGTAACCACTTTGCCATGAAGCAGAACCACAGAGCACCTCAAAAAGTATTTTAGGGTTCCAATATTAGGTCAGATCTTGCAACATTCTGGGCGTTCAGCTGAGCTTTTGAGAAATTTGGTTGCATTGCCTTGGTTATTAAACATCATATTCCGTACCTCCTGGAGGATGGGGAAGTTTGATGCAGCATTGCAGATACTTGCCTTCTATTTATTTTTTAGCACAGGAGATCAATATTGACATTTCACATTTTTATGATTACTCAATCTTAAATCCAGGCTAAGCCATTGAAACTGCTTTTAAAATATAATCAAAGGGGTTCTATGTCATTCTATGATCATTGGAAATACAGGGGTGGTGAAGAGCATCTTCCATTTAAATTGATTGCGTGAGGAAAGTACCTAAGTATTTTGGTTTGAGTTTTCAGCAAAACTTTGGTGACTTTTAGTAGTTTTTACTTATACTTCTTTCAACAAAGCACATATGTTTGATTTCACAAAGCTTTTCATGATGTAAATATTTGTGTGTGGAATTGGTAGGACATAACTAATGGACTAATCATTTATAAAAAGAATGAGGAAACTTAAAATCAATTTCAATTCTATTGTCCCTCTTCCTCCAGTCTTGGCATTTGGATGTATTGAGGGGACAACTTTGATGCGACTGTCATGGAAGTTATGTTGATGTTAAGCAGGGGCATAGTTGAGGCCAGAGAGAGACACAGCTTGAACCCTGTTTCTTATTAAAGACAGGCCTTGGCTGTATTCTGTAGGGACAAGTACATCAAGGGTATCGGCTACATTGGGGAGATGGCATAGTGCAGGCCCTAATGTGGTTGCCAATTTTATTTTGCATCCAAGGGAGCCATATGTATAGATACTGTAAGGGGTACTAATATTAAGTTGGGGTTGGCAATGGGCTGAGCGACTTGGTGCCTTGGCCAGAAATTGTGGCCCAAATGGCCGGGCTAGGGCCAGCAGTGGCCCAGTTTGGCCCCACTTTTTTTTTCTATTTTTTTTTCCAATTTTTTTTCCCACTTGCTGCTAGGCCAGACTGACCTTAATATGACCAGTACCTGGGCTGGCCTTAGAAGGACAAAGACTGTGCTAGGGCCAAGGCTAGCCCGGTTCCTTGCCACTCTTACATAGAGTAGTGTTTTACTGTGAGCGAAGGGCTTCTGTAATCTGTCTATGGTATGTTGCTAAATATTTTTAGGGAATTCAATTAAAGATGCATGTTTTTTCTTGCTTTAAGAAATGGTCCTCCATCTCACTCTCTAGATTTTTATCTTGCTTTAAGAAATGGTCCTCTATCTCACCACTGTCATTTTCCACCAACTTCCCGAATTTCCACAAATATTTTGTATGGGAGAATGAGCAAGAAAAAGGGTATTGAATGGGTCAAATGCTTCATATAAAAACTGTAGAAGTCTGTACTCCACGTATTTAATGCAGGCATTGACATGGTCACTCATCCCAATTGCTAAATAAATCTCTATATAAACACTTATATCATATTCTCTGAGAGGATGTGAAAAAAAAATAATTCCTCTAGTCTCATGAGTAACTAGTCCACAGACCACTCTCAATGGACAATTGGCAAAGACACCTCACCTATTTTTATTTAAGAAAATGGCCAAAACATGTTGACTTCCTTCTCACCTGCTCCATATACTAAGCACATCTTATTCCTTGACTCTGCTCCTTCCTCTGATTCAAGGCAAGAACATGCCTTCTCTCTCTCTCAAACCAATGACAGATTGGATGTAGACTAAGAAGAGCTAAAACTTTCATCACTTCACCTTCCCTCTGAAGATAAAAGTGCCACATCTCTCTTCCCCGCTCTCCATGAGCTAACAAAAATTAACAGTCTCAGTTCTGGCCCTTCCCACTAATTCTGGAGAAGCAAAGCCTTGAACTACCTCTCTCTCCTTCTCTCTTATATGGAGGGAAAGACAGTAAGGATCGCCGGATCCACAGCAATCCTCCTCCTAGTTGTAGTACTTGTGGTCTTGCGCATTTGCCTCGGCGCCTCCAAGGCCTTCTTCCTGGCAGCTGCACCATTATGGGCAGTCCAAATTGCACTCCTCGTGTGGATTCTCTCCCACCAATGTGCTGACCGCCACCGTCATGCCCTTGCTGCTGAGCTGGCTGCCGAGGGAGAGCAGATCCGTCTCGAGTACAGCTTCCTCCGCCGGGTTGCCGGCCTCCCCACCCGATTCCGCCTTGCGGACATCGAGGTCGCCACTAACAGCTTCCAAACGATACTCGGTTGTGGCTCCTCGGGAGCGGTCTTCAAAGGCGTCCTCCATGACGGTACCGAGGTAGCGGTAAAGCGCATTGATGTCTCTGAGCACGGGGCCTCGGAATTCAAAGCCGAGGTAGCAGCCATCGCAAGCGTACAACACGTGAATCTAGTCCGCCTCCTAGGGTTTTGCGCCGAAGGGTCCTACCGCCACCTAGTGTATGAGTATGTACATAATGGTTCTCTTGATGCTTGGATTTTCCCTGAGAAGGAAAGGCATGCTACCTCTAAGAGGCACGAGCCTTTGCCATGGCACATGCGGTTTAGGGTGGCCATTGATGTGGCCCGCGCACTCTCGTATCTACACCATGACTGTCGGTCTCGCATCTTGCACCTTGATGTCAAGCCTGAGAATATCCTCCTCGACGACTGCTATAGGGCCCTGGTGTCAGACTTTGGTTTGTCGAGGCTCATGGGGCGCGATGAGAGCCGTGTGGTCACTACGGTGCGAGGAACGAGGGGTTACCTTGCACCAGAGTGGCTCCTTGAGCACGGAATCACCGAAAAGTCTGACATCTACAGTTACGGGATGGTATTGCTTGAGCTTGTCGGCGGTCGGAGGAACGTAAGGGTCTCTGGAGGAGGAAGGGGCCCGATGAGGAAGTGGTCGTACTTCCCAAAGGTGGTGATGGAGAAGGTGAAAGAGGAGCGGGTGATGGACATATTGGACCCCAGGCTTGCGTGCCTAGGTGTGGAGGAGCGTGAGGTCCGGCTAGTGGTGTTTGTAGCCCTATGGTGCATACAAGAGAAGCCTAGGCTCAGGCCTAGCATGGCACGAGTGGTCGACATGCTCGAGGGCCGGGTCCATGTGGACACCCCACCTGAGACAAAGATGGCCATTGTGGACCTGTTGTCCATTGACGAGATTACAACGCCGGACCGGCGTCCAATGAGCGGAGCCATGGCATCAGATGCAGAGTCTATCGTCAGTTGCTCTATGACCATGTCTGTGGCGTCTCCTAGGTAGGGCAAAGGGGAAGTCACAGCCCATTTGTTCATTTTTTCAGGGCAACTTGTTGCATCAGGGGCAAGTATTGAAAGCATGACCTCCCTCTTACAAACTGTCACATTAGTAGACCAACTTCCCAATTAAATTTGGGGAGATGACCCCTTCGCAGGCATACCTCACCTTTTGGGTGGGAATAGAATTTCAATTGTAATATTCTTTTGTTCCTGAGCCTCATTAATTTTGGAGAGGAATTCAGCATGGTTTTAGAAAAAAGTTTAAGAACCATCTTAAGGGATTGATACAGTGACAAGCCTTCTCAATAAAGGATACACAGTGTGCTTTTAGATGTTTGTGAAGCTTTTGGCAAGGGTGAGGGTCTTCAAAAGTGGGGAGGCCTGGACCCTTTGTGTTGAGTTTGCAGAAATAAAATTTCTTACAACCTTTTCAAGATTTCCAGCTACCCACCTATTTTGTTTTTGAAATAATATATATAGTATGATTGCATTTCCTAATGAAATTATTACAATTTTCATTTTAAAAGTGAAGAAGTTGGATTGAAATTTTATGTTTATTTGTGAGTGCGGCTAATGCAAGCAGTCTGATGAAAAACTAGAAAAAAAAAAAAAAAGGTGACGCCGGCAGTTCTTTGGGAGGCAATTGTTGATACATCCATGAGCTAATGCCTCATTCAACCATATGACGCTTTACCAGGAAGCTGTAATAATGTTTTGCAACAAAATGTTGTCGAATGTCGATTAATCCACGAAAGCTTACTTGATTATAATCTATAATTGGTTATAATTTGGATATTTTTTCATAACAACCTTGTTTTTTCTATATTTTAGCTTCACATAGGCAAAATACTGATTAGCTAAATGAAGAATGGGAGTATGAGAAACCTATTTACTGGGCCATTTTTAGATGGCCAATTTGATGATACAGAGTACAGACAAATGTTTAAACCCGTTATTTACATATATAAAAGGGAAGATTGAGAGAATGAAGAGAAAAAAAGAACTAAAAATGATGAGAAAAATTCATTTTGGGTGCCATGATCTTGTTCTTCGAGTCAATATAAATAACATTGAAAAGAAAGTGGTTAGTTGCTGGTCCTCCCTGTTCAACTTCAAACAAGGAGATGTGCCTTTTTTTTTTTTTGGGTAGTTCGAGTGGGGTAGGAATTGAACTTGAGATGTAGGATTGCTTGCAACTGCTAACTACTCAAGCCCAGGCCCAATTCCTCGTGACTTATCCTTGGAATTGAACTTGAGATGTGCATTGCTTGCATCGATCTAATTTGGAAAAAGAAGTTTGCTTTTAATTAGGTCTTTGGTAGAAATTGGTAATGACTTAGATGCTCAATAGTGAATTTGTAGACTTCGTGATTTAATCCCAGGCCACCAATTTGAGATCTAATGAATGTGAATGATTGTGACCTTTATATATAGAAGATAAATAATTTTTTTGTAAACAATCTCAAAATGTTATTATATTATTTGACAAAGACCTCACCCTTTCAAAGTATATTCCAAACAACTTGTTCCCTTAGACATATGGCAGAGATATAGTGCACATAACTAAACTACATCAGATTGAAGTTTCAAGGCTAATTTCTTGAGTTCTAAATTGAAAATAGCATTTATTTTTATAGTGGAAAATTACCATATGATCCTCGTGACCAAGCAAAATCAATTATCCATGCACTATGTATTTGCTCTTGAAATTTGTGAATAACCAAATATTATACAAACTTCACATTGTGGTTTGTTCTTGGAAAATTTCAGATGGAGTCACTTCTCGAGGGGGTGTTTGACTACTGGAAACTTTGGCATCAAAAGTCAAAAGTTTTAGGTATGTGTAAAAGTTGTGTTTGAAAAAGCGAAATTCACTGTACTTGAAATCCAAACTTTCCAAAAAAAGAGAAATCCAGACTTTTGACTCCCCCCATGGAAGTGCAGACTTCTCATTTTTTGAAAAGTGCGCACTCCCCATTTGAATAGTGTCCAAACTTGCTGTGGTCACATAACTAATTTGAATCTTTTTTATAAAAATCAGATTGAGATGAAACGTTGAATTTTTGCACGCCTCATTGGGGCGCAAACATAAATAATATATATATTTTTTGAGACAAAAGGAAATAAAATATCTTTAAATTTTGGGGTATTTTGGTCATTTTATGTTTAAAATTATTTTTTGAAATATTTTTCAATGGTGTGTATGGATGAGAAATTTACACACCCCAAATTTTAGATCAATCTAATATGTCAATTTTTTTTTTTTAAAAAATGTACATGTTCTCAACTGCCCGATAAGATCATATGGTTGAGATCAATAATATTTTACTTCTAAATTATAACTACATTATGTGATTTGTATCATCCATTTTATTAGACCTACCATAGTTGAGCAGTGATTTTGATATGCCATTCATTCAAATGTGTCATCCCCTCATCAATGAAAATTACAGGGAACGGTTAAACTAGGTCGATTTCAAATTTTGAGGCTCAACCATGTATGGTTTTCCTGATATCAAGACAGTAAAAAATATTACAAGATATCAAAATCTCGAGTATCCAAATTTAAAAACTAAAAAATTCAACTTCCTTTTCAGGTTTCCAATGGCCAAACAAACGTTTACATAGATTCTTATAAGGGTGAGGATTGTATAAAGTTGCCTCCTGTAGAAGTTAGGCACACCTATAAAATTTACATAGAGATGTCGTTTCGGCGATGGAAACCTTATGATAGCTTCAAAATCTCTTTTTATCCTTAGTTATAAAATTTAAAATTTCATAAACGGTATAGATCAAGTAGATAAAAAAATACTTAAAAATCTTTTTTCAAGACGGTTTAGATAACTTGTTATAAGATGCACTATTATTTGGACTTGAATTCTATTTTTCCTTCATGTCCATTCTTCTTAAGGTCGAGATGATCAGTTGGAGGGTTCTTCTATGCCAGAACACTCTCCAATGCAAGATTCTTGAGGTGCGCCTTACTTCAACAGTACAAAGTTGCAACCTTATGTAAACTTTGTCCTTCTAAAATGCTATTTTTAAGGGATAGTAGTATTGCCAGCACTAGGGTTCCACAGGATGCTAACGCCTTAGTAAATATCCAACTTCAAGGAGGGACAGTTAATCAGGTGCTAGTGAATTGCGCGAAACTCAGTGCTTGTTCTGTATACAAAATAAAACCATTTCTTTGGTTTGTATAAGGTTGCAACCTTGAACTATCAAATTCAGGTGCGCCCTCATGAGATGTAATTTTTGTATAAAAAATTCATAGGATGGTATAAACTTCTATTTTTGTCTCCAAATGTAAAATTTTAAACTCAAAATATGGTTCAAAAGCAAATCTATAAACACAAAAACATCTTGAAAATGGATAGTCCAGATAATGTGTTGCAAGATGTATTGATTTTTGGACTTGAAATTTCTATGCATTATTTTTAGGACTTGAAATTTCTTTTTTCTCCATATCTATATCCCGATGTCGATATGGTCAACATCAAAACAATCATTTTTGAAGGATTTTAGAGCTGCATCTTAATTCTAAATTTGAAGGTGTCAACTTTACATAAACTTTTTCTTTTTATTTTTAGCACACTTGTCTAAAGTAGCAATAATAGGGCAGCCAACAACTTTGAAATTTGGAGCATATGTTCTTAAAAAGTAGTCTAATCTAATAAAATATCAAAAAATAATTCACAAATATTAAATAGAACAAAATACCCCTAAAACTTTTAGGGGTATTTGATTAATTTAATTTCTATGAAAATAATTTTTAAAATATTTGTATTAGGTGCACTTTAATGAGAAGAGTAGACGTCCCAAATTTCATATCTTTTGGATTTTTATAAAAATAAATAAAATTTAAATACAAAATATAGTCGTGATCATCAGTTTGACCAGGACTAATGAGCAATTTGAATTTTAAAAACTAATTAGATATGTATTGTCATACAAAAGGTTCTCCCTCTCAAGGTGACAATTCTATCTTCGCAATAAAGGGCAAATTCCATATTTTTTTCATGGGATTAGAGTGGTTTGGAAGTTAAAATATCCAATAAGATTATTTATCTTGGTACAAGAAAGTTACAATTACAGTTAGATGCAAAATGGGATAGTTGAGATTGTGCTAGTCAAAAGGAAAATTTGAAATTACCCCTGGCTTCCAGGTTTCACATTTGACGATTAGGAGTTATTGTAACATTTAGGGCTGGTAATGGGCCAAGCTTGGCCCTTACCAAGCTGACAAGGCTTTGGTCCTCTCTAGATAGGGCTAGGCTAGGACGGGCTTCATAGATTCAAGATAGAAAACAAGGGAAAATTTCGTATAAAACTCTAATTCCTCGTATACGGTGAAATCTTTGGAGATTTTTTTATACTGTTTGAAAGAAAAACAGAAAGAGGATTTACCATGCAATAATATGAGAAATTAGGGTTCTATAAGAAATTTTCTAAAAAAAAAAAAAAAAAATTAAGAAAAAACACATGGCAAGGCGGGCTATCCCTGTCATAGAACTAAGTAGCCCAGTCGTGACCCGGCTTGGCTATCAGACCACATTTTGTGGTTCAGGCACTAGTTGTGTAGGGCCGGACCTACTGGGTCGAGCTGTGCTCCGCCCATTATCAGCTCCACCAAAGATAAAAGGTTTGATTATAGAGCGGGCATATTATGCCCATAGGAGTATACTATATATCTACTCCCTCGAGGACCACCTAAAATTACTAGATGATAACATTTTTTTAAAAAGAAAAAATTTGAAATTAAATTTTCTAACTCTTAGATCTCACATTAAAAAAAAAATGGATGGTCTCAATTCAATCTCAAGACCAGTTTTTAAAGTGCATAGAGTATGACTTGGAAAAATTTATTTTATTGAAGTTAGTCTATATGTTTACATCCCCTTTGGATCCTAAAATATCTTCTAGATTGAGTTTTGCCCGAGGGAGTAAATGGACAGTATGCTCGAGTGAGATCATGAAATCGTTTACGTTATAGAATATACTTTGACAACGAGAAACGTCTCTGTGCTCAAAATTCAAATTCTTAGAATAAATAAAAGAGCCTCTTTCTTAAAGAAAGGCGGTGTAACTCTCAACGCATGACCAGAACAGTTTTTTATGCGTTGAAGAAACTAGGGAAGAGTAAATACGGCCAGGACAGTTTTTTATGCGTTGAAGAAACTAGATGCGTTGAAGAAACTAGAGAAGAGTAAATATGAAACTAGGGACGTGTAAATATGGCAGAGTAGTTTTTTATGCGTTGAAGAACCTAGGGAAGAGTAAATAT